AAAATAAGTTAGGGACCAAAAACACAAATTCCCCCAAACCACAGGGACCATTCGTGTAAATTAATTTTTACTTTTTGTTTTGTTCATATTTTGGTAACTATTTTTTTTTACACATCTAGGTAACGAACTTGTTGAAAGCGTTCACATCTAGGATTTAACCTGCTATAGCAGGTCATAATGGTCATATGTGAATACTTCCAACAAGTTTGTTACCTACATGTGTACAAAAAAATGATAGTTACCCAGATGTGAACATACCGAAAAGTTAATTACCTTAATAAGTCATATTCCCTTGTTATTTTTGTATTAAATTTTCTTATAAATACAAGATGAAATATTAATAAATAATTAAATATATAGATATCTTACTTAAATTATAAAAGCTACTATTTACCAGCTGAAAGCTAACTGATTCTTGAAAAACTAGTTACAAGCTGATAAATTATGTGATAAAAATCAAATTTGGTAAAAGTAGCTGAAATATATATAAATATTATATAAAAGGAATTGTTGAAGATTGAGTTTTTTTTAATTAATAAAGAATATATTTAAAAGAATTTAAAAAAAAAAGTTTTTTAAGCTCATTAAAACGTTAGTCTGGATAACTTTTTTAAAAAGTCAGCTTATAAACTACTTTCTTTTTGCCGAACATAAAAATTAAAAAAAAAAAAAACTTGGAAAATAAACTAATTGTTGCGTGCCAAACATATATTTATTTTGTACTATAAATATAGATTTATACAAAAGAATAATAAAAATAACATAAATTAAAATTGGTGATACTTGCAAATATATAAAGTCCACAAAACGTTATTGACTTTTTGTTATAACTGTGTTATATTTTCGGGTTGTTGATTTGATAAAAAAAAAAACAAGAAAAAACTATATTGAGAAAAAAACAAGTGTTGTTGATACTCAAAGACTCGAAGTAAGTCCAAAAAAGGGGTCCATTCAAACCAGTCCAAATCCAGTCCATACACCCAAAACCCGGTTCAACCCACAAACGCCGTGAGTCCGGTCCGTTAACATTGAGCAAGATGTAAATCACAAAATCATCCCTCTATGGCATACCACATTTTTTGCAATGGAAGAAGTTCTCACGTCCACCAACTCTGAACACGAATAGAACTATATAAATCAAATCTCTCATGGAACAATGAAGAATCTAATGAACAAAAAAGAAGAAATACAATCATAACTAACCTGCAGATGCCACAATCGTCACAGTGGAACAAACCCTTGTCAATCTGCAATATGATGATGATTAGCAAAAGTGAAACGAAAACATAGATATACAAATCGTTTGGAATTTCATACATCATCATCGTAGAATTTGCACAATTCACAAAAGTATTCCCCCATATTGACGCCACAATTTGTGCAGGAACGAGCAACCTGGAAATCAAAGAAACGATTCAGTGATTAAAGAAAGGAATTGTTGTAGTTTTGTAGATCGAATCAATGGAACATACCGGTTGCTCTGTGTCGCAAACTGAACAAATCACCTGCAACAAACATGAAATTTTTCAGTCGATTGTAGGGTTTATTATATTCGCAACTCTGATGATGGAGAAGAAAGGAGCATACGTGTTTCACATCGGATCGAATAAGTTCATGGCGATCGTAGGGATTTTTCAACATATTCTGAGGGATAAACAGAGAAAATCAGAATACAATCAGAACGGAGATTGAATCGATTCAAATCCATACG